TGAAACCGATTAATTCAAAAAGTGATATGTACCTTGAAATCAGATGTCTTGCAATGCTAGATCATTTAGCGCTGCTGTAAGCACATTTTGGAATTGAAAGGAGAGCCAAGTAAAATCTAGCTTTCTTACAAGAAGGGCTAGCTCCCTCATGTATACGATTGCCTGCTTTCTATAAAGAGATTACTGAATAGAATTGGATATACCTTGATTAGGCCCTGGTCGTTAGAGGGTTGAGATCTCTATTCTTGATGAATCGGAAGACTTGCTCTATTGGAGCCAGGTGGAATTGGTATGGGCCCAGGAACATTACAGGCAATTTTAGTTTCCGGTATGCAGCCATCATGTCACGACTCCTGTGATATGGTGCATTATCTATGAGAAGTATTGTGTTCAATCTCCAATCGGGCCGCTAGGAATTGAGGTAATGAGCAAGTTTGATCAGGAATAGCAAGAAAGTATCCCCAGTGTTGTTGCCCTAATTCATTGTAAATAGAACTTCTCCATCACTGGAGCCTGCAGCAATCATACTCACCTTTATAAGTCTCTGAGCCAATCCTACGATTTAAGGTTTTCTTGGGTTGATCCATGAGTAATGGCGATTGTCTGTTGATTAGAATATCGTTTCGTCAATGTTGAAGATAGTGAAGCCTCATGCTAGATAGCTAATGAACTGAGCAGCTGCAACTTGACGCCTGAGCTTGTTGATGGAGTAGTTGTGATTGGGAGTTAGGTGGCTTATCTTCCGAAAGCGTAGTGAGAGCTCTTCATGTAAGAAACGAGATATAAGACTGGCTGAAACATTTAACCCTATCTCACTGTGTAGCAAAGACTTAAGTGATTTCAAGGTGATGATTCGATCTCGTCTCAGGAACTAGTTCATCAGGAATATGCGAGCTCAAGCATGCAGTTTCGGAGATTTGGATCACTTAGTAGCAGATGGTTAAATCTATTTGGAGTCTTGTTTCTGCAGCACCTTCTTGATTTTGTATATTGAAACTCTGAGTCTCTTGGATATCTGATTTAGCGACCATTTCTAGTCGAAGTGATAGCAGAGAATTTGCTTCTCAAGCTCTCGGGTTTCCCTGTCTATCTACTGCCGTTTGCTATTTTGAATTTGCACCTATCTGCTCGCAGGAAACTACTGCAGAAGCTACTGATACTAGTTCTCAGAGCAATGGTCTATCCTGAGTACAATATTATCACTCTCAGAGCCAAGTTCTACTCCCTATCAAATATCCTAAGGTGGTGAGGGCACACTTACTGGATCTACGATATCGCTTACGCATTCTCTTCAAACTAGCTTAGATGCTGCCACTGCAAGGCTAGTAACCTCGTCCTAAGAATAGCAAGAATCAGCAAAATCCTGCCTAGACCTGAGTTCCTTAACAATGTCCTTGGAATCCTGAATTATCTCTGGCTCTTGAAATGGCTCTTGCTCAGAGATCAAAGTCTTCATCAGATTTAGGATGCTTTGAGTATTATATTCCTCCACGATGACCTCAAACTGGAATTTGATTTGATCATGGACTAGATTGGTACTATGGTAAGTGAGCTCGTCTTGAGTGGTGGTTGCCTCAATGGAGGTGGCTCTGCCTAAATCCTGGTTCTCCCTAGACCTGCCA